CTTGACTGTGCATGATGCGATTCTAAACATTGCAGCGGCATGGGAAGCAATTAAGCCTGAAACCATTCAAAATTGTTTCAAGAAAGCAGGTTTCAGAAATAACGTGGTTGACGCCGTGTTGGAAGAAGAAGAACCCGAGATACTGCAGCACCGTACGAAATTCAATCAATTAAAGATCTTATTGAGAATGTGAATAATACAAAAACGAGGCCCTAAGCGATAATGATGAAGACGAAGATGAGTCAACTCCGGTTTTGTCAAACGCCCAGGCATTATCAGCTGATTTAAGACGCAAAAGCATCAAAATCTTTTTGTCAAACCAAAATAAGTGATTATTTTAAATAATGTAATTATAATTAATGTAATTTATAAATGTATAATTTAATACCTATTTATACCAAAATTAGAACATAATACATAATAATATGTAGTACGTTTTATTTTCCCTATCCCGCATAATACGCTTTCTCGCTTAAGACGCGTTTTTGGTAGAGTCCCTGAGAAATCGTCTTAAGGCGAGGTTGCAGCGATTTTGCACTTTTTTGAAGAGAAATAAATACCCTAATATGAATTTATTGTGCATGAAAATAAATATTTTTTTAAAATTAAACATATAATCTAGAGATCCGTAAAGATGGAAACATGATTTATGGAATTTGGCTCGATAAAAAAAAATCACAAACATAGCACTAACTCACGATTTCAAATAGAAATTGTTGTAAAATGCCACCATGGATTCACGTAAAAACTATACCAAAAAATAGAGCTTATTTTTTTTTTAGGGATTTGTAAGGATACATTTTCACATAGTTGTACTTATAAAAAAAGGAACCAAAAAATATGTTTTTACGCTTGCTTACGGCGGCGAAGTTCGCCTGTCAGATAGTCTTGTGCTTAATCGGACATCTGCAGGTTCGCACCGTACTAGTACAATTCGTACAACGTACTAGCACACCGTAATAGTACTATTAGTACAGTTATAGTAGAAGTAGAAAACTTAAGCGTTTGTATTGATATTACCAACATCAATGAAACGGAATACTAATAATTAAATAAATTAAAATACGTAATTAAAAAAAAAGTGTTATAGTTTTCTTTTTAATATTGATGGCTTTGTATTAGGCAGTTACTTTTCTTCAGTATAGAAATAATTACACAGTTCTTGATTATTTTTAATGTGTTATCCCTTTCTGAATCCCAGAAACCCTAACAGTTTGACTTTTAAATACGATTTTTTAGATTACTTTACACTAAATTTTTAAGCATACTATCGTATTTGATTTTCCTTCATACTTTACAACCCAACGTATTGTAGTACACCTGTATCGCTGTCCCTTTTACTCTCACACTGTTTACCAATACGGAACAATAAAGCGGAGCATTAATAGTACGTCGCACAGCGAACGATCGTGGACACTAGTAGACAGAGTAAACAATAGATAGTTTTAGTACTGGCTTGAAGTTGACACGGTGTACTAATAGTGCAAAATGTCCGATTAACAGCTGCCTTTCGGAAACATTACTTTTAGTACAATACCCAGTACTAGTACCTATCAGTACATCGTACGTGTACTACCCAAGACTACTGTCAGAGCTCGCTGAGCCTTGTTTGAGTTCGGACGCACGTCATTTTGCTCCGTGAAATTCCTCCGCTCAAATACGTAAAATTCGTTTTCACAGAGCTTCAACAGAATACTTATAAGTTAATTTTAATATAATTATTCCTTCTATTTTATTAGTAAATTATTCCCGTCTACAATGTTTATAAAACACAAAAATGGTAAAATTTTACAAACACATGAGTTTCACTGCGCCACAGTCTAAAAAAATCAGTATGCATGTGAGTACGGTAAATAAACAGTATTCATTGGTAGTATAGAAAGAAGGTAATCAGAAAATGTTATTAGAAATCTCTAATTTTGGTATAGTCAGGCACATTTAAATTATGTGGAATTCAACAGTAATATAAGATTATTTATTGTTATTTTGCAGCTCTTCGATGAGACAAAGCATATTCACAGGCGTGGTTGAGACCCTACAGAAATCAATTTCTATTGATCATAGTACTACGTTAGTTTTTGTATTTATATAAATGGAATATCTGTTTTGTCGTGTGAAAACTAAACAATGACACTATTCTCAGTGAACAAGAATACTTTCTTAGGCGCTGCTGCTATTATTGGCAGAAAAACAGGTGCGGTCTTGTACATGGGTGTAAAAAATAAATACTGTTTGGTTTGTAGCCGGGCTAGTGAAAATAACATAACGCCTCCAGAACATAAATGCTTCAAAAACTTTGATGGTCATCTACCTCTATGGAAGCAGATATAAGCTAGGTCGGCACCAGATATGTCAATGTTTGATTTGGAGCGAAGGAAAGCTAGTTATTTAAACAAATTAATCAATCTTACAGCAGACAGAGATCATATTGAAAGATCGATCGTCCTACAAAGGAACTCGAGTGAGTGGCTTGAAATAAGAAAAAAAATAACAGCTTCGAATTTAGAAAATATTTGCAAGAAGAAACCCTCTACGGATACATCTTCTTTGGTAAAAAATATTTTGTACAAAAAGAATTTGTAGCAAGTGACCTCGGTAGCTCATGGGATTGAAAATGAAAAGCAAGCCATACAACAAATTCAGCAAGAAAACCAATTGAAAATTTAAGCATGTGGACTTTTTATTGATAGTCAATACCCATTTATTGGAGCTACACCTGATGGCTTGATTGGGAAGGATATGTTGGTTGAAGTGAAATGCTCATTAGTTGCTGCCAAAGAAGGATTGCAGTAAGCCCTAGAAAATAATAAAATTCAGCTCATCCGCGGTTTCATCATATTCAAGGTCAGTTACATGTCACAGGCCGTTAAAAATGCCTTTTTGGTTTGTGGATATCATAAAATGAACCAGTGTTCTTACAATATGTTGAAAAAGACGACGAATTCTGAAAAGAAAAAATGGAACCAAGGTTGGTTCAATTTTATTTGACCTGCTTACTGCCGGAATTGGTTGACCCAAGGCTCACGCGTGGCATGCCAATCCGAAACATATTTTTAACCTCAGGAAAAGAAAATGAAGCATCATCAGGCTCTTTAACATACGCTTAAATTCCGAGTGTATCTGACACTAATATTATACAGTCGCTAATTTTTGAAATTATCTTTGAAATAGAAAGTGAAATATTAATTATTATATATGTATGAAATTAATCGAAACAATTTAAGTATGTTGGTAAATAAGGTCTCTTCAGACAGCACTGTAACGAAACGCATTATTGTAAGCTATCTATGCTGTGCGAATAAGAACGCCCGCTTGCCTATTGCGCTTTGACATGATTGATATAAATCTTAAAAAAGTTTAGAATAAAACCTCCGCCTCAATCATCATCTTTTATTAAAGTTATGTGAATTATTCAACTTATGTTGTATGTATTATTAATTAAAGCCTGTATTATGGTACCCAATCTGCTGATAAACTCATGAAGTAAGAGAAATTTGTAGTATAAGGTATTAAAAAAAACGACGGGTTGCACTCCGGGAGTGTCGGCAGAAGTGAAAACTTTAATATTAACGTTGTGCATTTTTGATATTTTGGAATGGTTAGGGAATAATTTTGCATGAATTGTTTTAATTATCAGTAGAAAAGTACTATCATTTATGTGGTAGAATATAATATTTATTTTTTGAGCTATCGTACCCAAAATGACAATTTATATTACATTAAAAAGTTTATCTCTCAGAAAAACGAACATTCGCGCAAGCGCCCTGCTCCGCCTAAACGAAACAGCAGGCGCAGGCATACATTTTCGCCGCGCCGTAGGAAGAGAGGGGGATACTTCCTCTCCTACGCTGCGCCGACTGTCTACTATCCATCCGTCTTACGAATTTTCGATCAGGTCACGTGTCCTAACGCGAGTTTAACATTTATTATCCATTACAAAAAAAGTTTTCTTTTCAAAAACATCTATTGTTTATGAGATTTTGAGTAAACAAATTATATATGTAGGAAGTAATGACCTAATATTCTATAACTAATAATTAATAAACCTTAGTTCGCCTGTTTAAACGGTCATTTAATTCCAATATTTTTCGTGTATACCTATTTTAGTAGAAAGCTAACACACAGGTGAATAACAAAAGTTTAAAAGTGCTAAAGCCAATTAGAATTATATACGTCAAACATGATATTCTTTTCTAACTGCTGCATTACGAGTACGCTAGACTGTGGCACAATATCTGGACGTAACTTTGAGTGGCGCGCAGCCGACTCGCGCAGCTTTTTGACACGCTGCGTCTTTGCGTACGATACGTTAGCGGGGGGTGAGGTAATGTTTGCACACCTACACACCGCGCTGCAAGAGCGCCTTAAGCGGGTTTTACTGTAGTTCAAAAGTCAAAAAAGCGACTTCATGTTATACTATGTAAAGATAACTTGCTTCTAGCACTCTAATTAAAATGATATAATTGTTTTACTTAAACTTATTTCTTCAAATCAATCTGACTTTATAAATTAAGAATGACTCTTGCTGCTCGCCACCATTAAGTTGATTGTTCACACTTAGCTTCCCTTTAAGACCAAGTCCATCCCTCCCAATTTAAGTAGACCAAAGCCCAAAGGAAACAGCTTGTTGCAGCGGACGGGGTTTCTCAGACTGGTGATATAGAGAAAGAAGGCTATGAAAACGTAAGAAAAATATAGGAGGATATCGCATTTATGTACAATACACTATTCTTTAGTGTTCACCGTGAAACACTTTACAACCATTTGATGCTTAGGTTTAGATGGATTAGTAGGTAAATAAAGATTAGGTACTAATTTATTATTATAGTCAAACCTTGTCAAACCTATGCAATAAAAAAGCAATTTGTATGGATAGAATGTACCATACGGACTCAATATATTTCATACTTAGTTTTAATATGTATATATTAAGTATAGGCTGTTTTCACTCCTGTTGCTCGCTAAACGTTTTTATTTAACACACGCGTTCTTTTTTTCAGTCTGATATCTCTACAGTCCCTAGAGTTGCGAGAAAATTTATTGAAGTCTCTACCAGAATCTTTGAAGAACTTAACCAGATTGCAGAGACTGGATCTCGGCGATAATGATATTGAAGAATTGGTAAGGTTTACACAGTTATATACTTACACAATTCTGGGCGGCTTATTTTCCTCGACTTCTATTTCACGAAAACATTCGGTTATTTCCAATCAGTATACAGTAAATGAATTTTGTTCACTGAAACAGATAGATCGTTTGTATTAAAAAGTGTCACTATTATATTTACAAAGAAGATTTCCATTTTTTTATAAGATACCTATAACTTTTATAATATTTTACCGATAATTGAAGGTCAGTTTTTATTGTTTCAATGCTGGCATTCCAATATGCACATTATCAGAACTAGCATTGAATACGATCATATTCCGACATCATCAAATTATTAGGGCTCGCATAAAGTCTCATGCCGTCCCTGTGCCGTCACTTTCATGTTAGCTGCAATTAAGTAGTTAGTATTTAAGTAGTACCAATAGAAACTTACTATAATTTGCAAAAATTTCAGCCGGGATTTATTGGTGAGCTACCGGCGTTGGAAGAACTGTGGTTGGATCATAACAAACTGCAGTATTTACCTCCAGAAATTGGAAACCTTAAGGCACTAATATGTCTCGATGTAAGTGAGAACAAGCTAGAGAAGATTCCTGAAGAAATTGGAGGTCTTTGTTCCTTAACCGACTTGCACCTTTCTCAAAATATGTTGGAAACGGTTCCTGACGGTATAGGCGATTTATCCAAGTTAGCTATATTGAAGTTGGACCAAAATAGATTACATACATTAAACGAAAATGTAGGAAGGTTAGTATATAATCTGCTTACAATATTTCTATATATAATTTCATTGTTTCACTATGAAGCTATTGTTCATACTAATGCTTAAATTCACTTTCAGATGTACAAATCTTCAAGAGCTTATATTAACGGAGAATTTTTTATTGGAGCTGCCTAACTCTATAGGGAATCTCAAAGAACTAACTGTACTGAATGTAGATAGGAATACACTGGCTGAAATACCGATTGATATCGGTAATATGTCGTTACTGGGTGTGCTATGCTTAAGAGATAATAAACTTACAAGATTACCAAACGAACTGGGAAACTGCAAATCGCTACATGTTTTGGATGTAAGCGGAAATAGGTGAGTCATATAAATTCATTCATGTCAAATATTCATAAATATTTATTTATATCTAACAAAAATACCTGTTTTAATGATAAACATTGCACGAGTTGGTTACCTTTTGCACACATATTAGTTTGTCAAGTAAGTTGTACCAATTCCGATAAAATAAGATTAGATTGACAAAATATTATCGATTTTTAAAAGAAAATGTATAGAAGGCAGCATTCACCAGATTTCTGCACTAATTTGAAACATAAAGCTATAACTAGTGTACTGCTATTTTTACCCGAAACCGAAAAAAGGAGTATGTTTTGTATGTTCTCCGTCAATTATGGACCGATTTTCACAATTATTTTTGTTATCGAAAAGGTAAATTTATTTCTGCTTACCTTGTTTAGGGGTCCAATGGTTTTGTATGGGTATTTGTAGACGCCAGTGACTTATTATCACCAGACAAGCTATGTTCTTGTATCTCAACTTGGTGTTTGAAGAGAAGAAGTCAAGAATTTGAACCAACATAATTTTGATTATAATTTCAGTTTTTAATTTGTTAAACAATTCCTAGTGGTTCCACTTAGTATGTATTCATCGTCACATTTCCCCAGGTGAAATGAAAAACAAACGCCTATTCCATTTATCAAAACAAAAATAATAATTGTAGTATACTTTTAATCATTTGTGTTTATTGTACTTAGATTGTTACTCTATAATTACACATTTTCATAAGCAAACAATAAAGTTATTTATCTTCAATGTTCCAGGTTACAATACTTACCATACACTTTAGTGAACTTGGAGTTGAAAGCGGTTTGGCTATCTGAGAATCAGGCGCAACCATTATTGACCTTCCAAACGGATCGAGATGAGACAACGGGAGAGAATGTTCTCACCTGCTTCTTGTTACCTCAGCTTAGTTACACACAGCAACCAGGTACCGAGATAAAAAAAAAAGTCACAGCTTTTACTGTTCAGTTAGTAGATTTTAGTATTTTGGTGGTTCATTCAATTTTCACCTCTCAACAATGCTGTTCACCATCAAATTTATAAGCTTATGGTTTACTTTTATTTTCTTAAAAAATTATTTACGCACCAGCCTTATGGACATGAAAATGCATTTAAGTTTTATCTGTTGTCAGGTGGGCCGTGTGCTTTTTTGCAATCTTAGTGATTTAATTTTTTTCTTTATGCTGTTTTGGTATTTAATTGCAAATACTGTACATAAACAGAAAGCATTGCAATCGTACTGTGATAAAAAAGAAAATCTATCATTGTATGTTAGCTTCTATGTAAACGTTTTGGTATATACATGTCGTTTATGGTTATGCTTTCCGTGCTTTTATTTAATTATGCAATTTCGTTTGTGACAGTTGACAATAATAAAAAAAGAACAAGTTTTAACAATAGAAGAATCTCAGGTCACACGTAGAGCTCTCTAAGAAATATAAATATCATATTACATATATTCGTCAATAGATTCGGTACAAACACTGTATCCGTATAAATCAATCGGTCATTAACAATACAAACGACCTTGATACTTGAAATTTTGCATATTTCGCGATATAATGCGACATCGTCATAATTCTTGCTACATTTTTTTTTCAATTATTATGCAATAGTGAAAACATTTAACGCTTTGATTGAATTGAGTTCTGAATAATTTATAGTTTAAATTTTTGACGAATGATTCATCGTTCTGATTCTCGTTGTGACGAATCAATTATTTTTTTAATGGAAATGATGTATTGTTAACTGTCGCTCTGCTATATTGTTTTGTTTTTTTTGCTGTGTAAATGTACTAAAGGCACTTGTCACGTCACACATAGAGCTGGAACACACATCAGAGGTCGGCAGTGGACACTGGTTCAGGGAACACAGATTTAATTCACAATCGCAAGAGCTAGATAGAGTAAGAGGTAAGGTTCAAAAGTATGTAAGTTAAGTGATACGTTAAATATTGTGACGCTGAATTGCAACGTCACGCAGTGTGCATCTATTTGATCGGTAATCAAGATTAGAAATTGACATGTTGAACATACATTTTTTGTTCGTGTTGTGGTAGTAAATTTCTTTTGATCATAGATAAAAGTAAATGAGGCGGCTTGTGCACGCAACTTATATATTTGAATAATGTATAGAATTCTTCTTGCTTTCCTTATTAAGACTAAAGACTAGAGAACTAAAGACTACTACTAAGACTAAAGACTTCCTTATTAAACTAATGTTAGATATACATATTAGTTTAAATGCGCAACAGTCGAATCAAACGCAAGTACTAGTTTATTTGTTATAATTTATTCCATTTTGAGCTAGGAACTTAACAAAATCAGGAATTTTAATTCACCCTGTTTACTTTAGTCATTGTTCTAAGTGATGTGACTACTATTGCAAAAAACCTTCATATTTTATTTTTCAACATTGAAAATTAATTTTACAAAGTTTTTCCAGACTTTATAGTAGTCCAAACCCTTTTTAATTGTTTTCACATTAACCACGTAATACATTAAATTTAAAAATTAGTTAGTCGGACCCATTGTAAAAACGAGTAAGAGTAAGCTTGTGGTTCGCTTGCACTATCCGCTTATACCCACGACTAATCTGATAACTTTGGATTCGAAAGATCTCAAAAAAACAAAACCTCATTTCAATGTCAGGTACAAAGTACCTACTATCTAACTATCGTCCATATGTAATATACGAACCAGATAGATAGACTGATCCGTATCGTTCTGTTAATCGATTTACGAATGTACAGCATATGTCTGCTCGATCAATTATATCACTAGTAACTATCAGATGGATGCACTACTTTATCAAGGCTAAAGGGAAACACCTATTTATACTTATAGCTCCAATTGCGTGAACCTTGTTTTTTTTGCACGATGCAATTCACGGGTATGTGCTACACTTTATTGCAATTATGTTTTAATAATATTGGTTCACATTTTACCATAAGTATAAAATTATATTCATTCTATAAACGAACGATTGAAGAATACACGGAGCGATGACAGAGTATTAATTAAACACAAGTTAGGGTGTTAGGAACTAAAGAAGAAATAGTAAAATGAAATTACTGTCTTCATTTTAATTTCCATTTAAGTGTGTTTGAGTAGTTTTGTGAATTCTTGTCAATTCACAAAACTAGAAATATCACCATATTTGTAACTAAATAAAAAATAAACTACATATAATACTACTACTGCTACTATTAATATATTCTATTACGTGGCATGCTACTGTTAGCTCTTAATGTAGTTTGGTTTATACTTTACCCACATTGTGGTCGTCTGCAAATGTGATCTTTGTTGTATTAATAGAAGGGATACTGTGTATAAAATGTAATTAATTTATTTTTAAATGTCTTTATGCAGTTTATACATACAATGCGATCAGCAACCCTTAAAAAAAGAGTGTATTGTGTCTCCTGAATTGCAGGTCTCCATGGGTGGTAGTCACTTTACATTAGGTGACCCGTCTGCTTGTTTTCAGTAACAATGTGTACTTATTTGATAATTAAACTGTTAGTGCCAGTTTAGTACTAATGTTTATTTGATTCAACAGAATCGTGTATCTCGCGTGACCGAGATTCAGACAACGAGGACTGGGAACAAAAAGAGAACTCTCGCACGCACTCCGTCAAATTCACCGAAGATATTCCTGAACTCAAAGAGGTGAGCTTTTGCTGTTGTAAATTCTTCAACCATAGTAGAAACAAACCTTACAAGCGCAGTTTCAATGCTGTTCCAATACGCTTTCGTGATGTAGGTATGACATTTAAAGATCGGTGGATAAAAGTAGGTCTTTGGCTACGAACGAATATATGCGACACCTGCTCACGACGTAGAGCTTATTTAGCGCTCGGTACATTATTTGCAACTTTAGATTGAAAAATATTATCTACGCAAAGATTTTTTTTCTTAAGTAATATTCACGCTACCAATTCACATTATATTAACAATAATAATAATAATCAAAGTTATTTAGTGTCGTCGTCGCTTTGTCAAAAACTTGAATAAACCTATTAAAATAATAAAATACAATATCATAATTTTTTCTCTTTATTTTGGTACACGTTGAAGTATTGTAAAATATAGCATGATGATTACTCCCAGAAAATATATTTTTGTAAGGAACATCAAGTAAATGATTACTTCGTTAATTGTACTATAAACGCTTAAAGCATGTTTTGTCATTTAACATGTGTTATACAATGTTTCTAATCTCACCGTAAAGGATTATAAATACAATAGGAAGTTCATGATAATCGTTTTTTTATATTTATAAAGCTTTTAAATATGATTTTATACTATGTAATCGTATCGCAACACTCAATGTATTTATTATATGTATAATAAAATTTTAAATAAATTATCATTTATTTCTTTTATTTTTAAGTGCATGTTTTTGTTTTAACACCTTTATGCTTTTTTTTTACTTAAACCAGAACTTTTAGGTAGCGTATTGTACTTGAATACTTCGATCAAAAAAACTAGTTGCACGATCACGGCTCGAAAAACGGCGCCAACTTAACTCGGCTTAAATTAGAAGTATGCACAGTTGCGCTCACAGCTGCTTCGCGACCGCGGTGGTAGTGTGACGTTCGACGATGCTGAAGTGTGCAGTGTGGGCTTTTCATGTCAAAACTTCATTCAACTATTTTCATTTATTTTCAACTGCGTGTATCACGCAGCTACTCTCCTCACTCCCGCGTACAGTGTCCTATAACGCGATCGCTCACACCACTCAGTTAGAACAAGACCCGTACTAAAAGATATGGAGTCGTCATTACTGTTTTGAAACATTAATATAATATAATTTTTAAATATTATTTTTAATTATTTATTCGTAAGAAATCAAATAATTGTACGTATTATTCATATTTTACGTTGATGAAAATTATAATATAAAATTATATAGTTACACACACACAGTAAAATTAAAAACTGCTGAAACAAAAGACTGTTCTAATGGTTTAATAAGTTAACATTGATCAAAGGCAGGAGGTTTTTTTGTTTCATTATAGAAAAATATTAACAGCTATTTATCAATTACCTACCATGCCTTTCCTGTGTACGAGTAAAACTAGCAATTAACGGATTTCTATTATTTGTTGGTGTAGCGGCAATAGAAATATTCACCTCTAGTTATTACGATTCCCTAAATACGATGTATTTCGCGAAAGTCGACAAACGGAAGTACGTATAGCAGAGTCTTAGTAATAGGGTTCCGTTGGCACCCTTTGGGTACGGAACTCTAAAAACTATTTATTATTAAGAAAAATATTCATATACATGTCGACTCCAGAAGCTTAAAATCTGAATGCACTGCGTACCGCGAGGGACACGGTAACGACGCTGTACAATCTGTACATTGACGTTTTTAAGCAATTATTACGACATCTTTCTACGTGCACTTTCATTGTATAAACTTGTTTATTTTCTGGATAGCGTTATAAAAACAAACATGTGTAAGTATATAATACATCCGAGTGACACGATTTTGGCGCTGTTTTTGTATTAGAGTCATCTATAGTTTATTTGATCGAAGCAGTGGACAAGAAATTTACCAGCATACGGTTCTAACAGCGTTTAGTTTTGACATGGGCTCGGAACTTAGGTCACAAAAACCTATTTTGCTTTAAAAACAAGGAGGTTCTCAATCTGCAAATGCTGTTCATCAACATTTGCAGTGAGAAGTTTTTAACTCACTATCCAATATTAATGTTTTGTTGTTGTTAGTAAGAATGTAATACAGTATATGAATGAATGAATACTGTACATGTACCTAAATTTAATAAACATTACATGATATCATGCATGTACTTGAAAATTATAAAACTCGAGAGTAGATGACTCTGCATACGAGTGATAATTTTTTTTTTCACGATTACAGATCGCGATATCATTATGAGAGATATGCAAGCTTATTTGTTTAGTTATTATTATTTTATTTTACTACTGTATCATATCCATATATATATTTATATAGCATAACCCCTTGTTACTTTTAAATATCCCGACTAATTAATTACTTACTATGTTACAAAATTTAAAGAATATATAATACAATTGGACACATGTTCTAAAGTAGGATTATCTATAAAAGGATAACAGTAAAAATAGGAAAATATTTTCTTTACAAAGGGCTGTTAAGGTGTCGTTAGGCATATGCTGGGCCTGGGCCTTTGAAATACTCTATCCACTTAAATAAATCGTAGCTTAAGGGTTAAATAAATAAATTAAAGGACAAAAATAACTTGTTTATTATAATTATAAAAACATATATTTATCCAGAATAAAATTACAAACAGTATTTTAAAAGCTTGCGTAATAGGTTAAAATGTTCTTGGGTAAACAAATTTCCATTTTAAGGTTTCAACGATTCAGGAGGAGGGCGAGGAAACGCCTTCTGACTCGTTCTTCGCTCAACAGCCAATGCTCGCGCTGAGGCGGCCTATTAACGTAGTTCGCAAGCTAGTCACAACACAGCGGAGGAATTCCCTGCAGCGACACTCCTCCTCTATAACTAATCTAGCGGAGGTACGCGGCAACGCGTCGTAAGCCGTGCATTCACAATAAAGTCCAATTAATGGATATCACACATCTGAACTCTTGTTCACTTGTTAAGAATAAATATGTTCGGCAGTTAAATGTTAAATTTTGTGTGAAAAAGCCATAGCAATCAAAACTTATCCGTTGTGTTTGTATTGCAATTAAACGACTTTTAAGAATACACAATAATGTAACATGCTAATAAATGAGAATATGTAAATAATAATTGTGAATGCACTGCCATCTTATAAAGAATGCGGGATCCGCCTAAGCCTCTTGCTCTTTATCAGTACCTAGTTAGAAAGTTATTTGTTTTCGCTCAAAGTAGATTAATGCAATACTACATAAGTTAGTGTTATTGTTGGTAAATTATTGTTTTTTGTGCGTACCGAAACAGACAACCTAACACTGATTACGAAACACGAACCACACCTTTCCAGCACCAAATAAGAGTACAAAGATAGAAATCACCTTATTAAAACAAATTCACCATCCGTGCCTAGGAATGATCTCCGCAACATTTACCAAAGTTATTCCAACTCCAATTGACTGTAAGATATGAGATATTTTTTTTCACAACATTTGAACCACATTTATGTAGATTTTCTGATTAAAAGTCACAAACGTCGTAGTTTCACGAAACGTAGACTGCGTGTGATATCATATCCTTGTTAATCGTGCTACTCTGTCTTACTCGTTGTGAAGTAGCGGTAAATAGGTTAAGTGACAATCAGGTATCTTTTTGGAAGTTCATTGTAATTAGTCGAATATTTCGAGGTATTTGATCACTTTTTATGAACATGTGTGTTATATGAATAAAATCCACCATTGAAACTTACATCTAAATATAGACTCACAACAAACTGCGAATACACACGTGCTTGCTTTTTTATGATCTTCAGCCATATTTTTAATAATTCTTTTATATTCACTCATGCATTTTTAGAATACAGTTTTAAATCCAGTCTGAATATATGATTTGTTTTTCTTATCAAATTAACCGGCTCTTTTTTAAATGTCCCTGCTTCAATAAAATACATATTAAGTCTGCAAAGCATGCGCATGTTCACCTCATTTTGTTATACAACGTAAATTTTATATGGCACTTGTCAAACTTAAAATTATTTTCTCAGACACCATTTGTCCGTCAAAATACACCTCACCCGAAAGACTTAAAGGCGAAGGCACATAAGCTCCTTGCTGGGCGATCTCCGGAAGCAAACCTTCAGCAGGCTGTCAAACAAGAAGCGCCTCCTACTACTAACGGAATCCCTATGTCTCCACCCGAACACGTTGAACACCCTGTGGAAACTATTGAAGTAAGTTAGAAGTGTTCTTGTCCTCAGGTGTTACTAGTGTCCTTTAAGAGTAAATTATTAACCATGGAAGCAATCACGGCAGAATAGATTAGAAGGGAACAGTTAAGCGAAAGGAAGTTTTTCATTAATATTTTAGATTGACATTAAAATGTCAAAGACACACTTATGCAGGATATATTCAATTGCGAAAGTGTTGGCATACTGACTATAAATTATGTGAATAGCGACAATTTAACGGATATTATTATTGTGTGAATAGGAAACCAATTACATACTTCCTTGTCATTGCGTGGATCGCCAAGAATTTTATGACGCATAGCGAAATTACTATTTTTATGAGTTTGAATGTCGCCTAGTTTAAATCTACATCAATATTCATACATTATACGTCTCGAATTTTGTCCGATTTAAATAAGTATTTTTGTATTTGATAGTGTATTCATCGAGAAACGGTATATTTAACATAACGCTACTACTCTTAGGAGGGAACCAGTGACCAAAACACTGGTGCAACATGTTGGTTGGTCTTCTTGAGTATGTTAGTAGGTAGTCTTCAGTTGGTAGTATGTATGTTGCTCGGCTCCTAGAAAAAGTAAAATGTTAAGCCTGTGACCCTGGATACTTGTAATTCAAATCAAATAGTTATTATAAATGTCGTGTGATATGTAATCTACGTAATGCCTTTGCTTCAACTTTGAAATTCTTTTTAACCGACTTAGTCATTAACTGGCTTCAACATGTTTCTTTTTATTAAACAAGATTTATATTGCAGGCGGCATCACCTCCAGAACAAACGAAAGAGGACGATAGCGACACCCAGACGGCTGCAGATCGAGAGTCTTCTGAGGGCGAAAACGATGAAAATGACGACTCCGATGAACTAGACGTAAGTTCTTTTCAATTTACAATATACACTGGTTAGAATAAAAATATACGACAGATACACGAAAAAATAAACAACTTAGCACATATTACTAACTACTAATGGGGTTAATATAAGCTGTAGACAGTAGTGGTATTAGTAACTACTAAATACTCATTAACATTTAAAACGCATTTGTTTAAAATATAATTAAAAAGTATCTTAATTAAAAACTAACATATGAAAATATTTCATAGTAATACTTTAATGATACCTGGTAGGAGATGTATTCCATAGGTACTTTTTCATTAGAATAAATACCTATGTAAAACATCTTTATGTTTGTGCATTTTAATACTAAACTGTAATTACAACGAAATAAGTAGTTTTCCCCCATGATTAGTTATTCTTCAGGTATAAACGACAAACTAGCGATTTGTCAAAGCCTTCTTTCTACGTTCGACTAAGACCGGTTCTGTAAGAGTCTACAGATCCATTTACTCATCCATACCGTTACCGTAGCTTGAAGCTACTTTACGTTCTAATTATGCAAGAGGTTTGCTTCCTTTCGACCTCAGCCCTCAAAGAAGTTTTAACCCTCGAATCCTCAACTTGTCTGCAGACAGTCCAAACTGGTGCTGACTGAAGTCTTTCCGACTTACTTGCAGACCGATGAGTCTTAGCAGACTAAAGATCCGAATAGTTGTAGGAACCATAACAGGACACCTAGCCCTGAACCGATAACTATTCACCATCAATGCGACGGACAGCCCTCTCTGCAGAGGATGCCTGAAAGCAGAAGTAACGGCCGCTCACGTAATTCTGGAATGGGAGGGAGTGGCCACACAACGAGCAAGTACTACACCTGGTACAAAATCGCTCCTAGAAGCCTTTGAACATCCCAGGAGGCTTCTGCGCTTCTAGAAGGAGAGGTTGGCTTACCTAGCCAATCTCTCCTAGACGCATAAAGGAGCATTCTCGAGTCTAAATGCGGCAATTGGCCTCTATCTAAAGAATGTTAAAGAAAATGACATTGCTTTATTAATGTTACTGTGTTCTAAATGAATAGAGATTAAATACCTTGTTCTTAAAACCACCCGTTTCGTCCTAGTTTCCACCTATTTATTACAACATTTATTTCGCAGTCCAGTAAACATTAACACTTTAGTCTGAATTTTGACGTAGTTATCTCAACTCATGACTATTTTATCCTCCTTATCTGTTAAGATGAGACCTTAAATATATTCAATGTGTCGTCATAGACTTGGACATAAACATATATATAGATTTGTATACCAACTATAATATTATGGTGACTTAAAGATATTTAATGTTTTATGTCACTGATGAAAGTTAAAAGTATGGGAGAAGTTTCTAGAGTGCGCATAGTATTTTATTCTTTTATTAATGCGAATCAGGAATATTATAGTTTTTGCTGCAAATACATTTAGGTCCTATGGAAGTATTGACATTGTCAAAGCCGAATCTTTACAATTTCTTTTTCCTGTAGCCCGGTAATGACCTTAATCTTGGTCCCTTCTTATGTCGTCCGCTTGAAAAAAAAAGTTTTAAAACTCTAAATGCTTACCATTTGAAATTTGTACATGTCTTGTAGTGTGTCAGTCTTGACAACAAATTCTGTAAGGTGTGACAATGGTCGGATTACATGGGTGTGTGTGTGGTGGTGGTTTAGCGCGCGCCGCGACGGGTGGCATGGCGTGCTACGGTAGAAGAGCGCGGTGCGGTAGCCGGGGGCCGGCTTCACCGACGCGACACCCCGCACCACTTGAAGAACAAACGCGTCAATCAGATGGACGCACGGCGCGCGCGTGACCTTATTGCGCAGGTGCGCATTACATAGTACTACTATGTTGACTAATGTTTGGTGGTAGTAATGTATTGCTTGGGTTTATTGTTGCTAGGTATACAACTAACATATCGTAAAAACCATGAAATGATGACGTATGGTTTATCCACAATCTTTTAAATTATCACAACGTATTTCAGTGCTTTACCATGTCACCGGTACATATCAATAACAGTACAGATTGTATAAATTAATGTCTTGCCGGCATCCAGCCGCTTGTGACTTAAGAATATTACTTAATGTAAATCTTGAAAACAATATCACGAAATATTTTAGTATTTTTTAAAAAGTGGAATATGTTACGTAATATTTGTTATAAAATTTTAGTATATATAATTATATGTATATTGACTTAAATTCTATATAAATAATTTGATATATTAAAAGTTTTAATACTTACTTATGAAAATGATGAAGAATGAATACATTCCTAAGATAAGAAGCTACTGATCTTCGCTTTGTAAATAATAAATTAAAGGGTAACCTATAATTTTCCACATTGATGATTTTACTCGTAACTCGTAGGTTTTTAATTGTCTATGTTTTTTTTTTAAACTATCACTGTTTTGTTCCAACTTAATCGAGCCTATCTGTTTTAGAAGCTGTATACCTAGCAACATAATGTAGTGCCTACTTTTTTCTACTAAATAGATTTAAAACCATTTGCATGTACCCAATAACTCTGTCATATAAATTTAATGTTTGGGATTTGGTGGTAATTAACTTTACTAAATCGTTTTGTATTTAATACTCTTTAGAATGCCTTGCACTTTTTGTCTCTACATATATTTACATTATGTGTCTGGCATATCATAATCTCATGTTCTTGTTATTATTAATCATTGCTTTAAAATCTTGGTTGTGGTATTGTCTGATCATCGACATTTAATGTAATTAGATTGAGGTGTGTAATCTTGTTTATTCGTGCATGTGTATAATGCATTGCTCGTTATACATGCTATGTGTTAGACAGTTTTAACATTCGCGTTCCATGATAAATAATTATGTTCATAGACGGGAATGAATGTGGTCACGCAACAGCATGTGACTACGCCCAATGCAACCTGGTCGTAACGTGAAGCAATTCAGACTTATGTACTACGTGTTACACGATCACTTCAATTGCCGTGTATAAACAAAGTTATATATACATATGTTAGACAATTATAAATATCGTCATTGGTTTAGTAATTTATTTTAACCACGATTTGTAGTTGAAATATCGAAAACACTTGTACAATCCTCATATTATAATCAAATATATAAAATAATGTTCAGGAGGATCTATGACTTTCTTTTCAAATAAGAATAAATAAAACATTTGTTCCTTGTTTTATTAGTTTATAAGAGTTGGGTACCTACCTACTCAATAATTACTGGGTCTTTCGATACTTTCGTGACTCCATAATTAATAATACAAAACCACTGTAACGGCAGTTCGGCGATATCAATTATTTTTGATGTTAAAACTAGAATAATGAAAGTCACCCATTCGAAGTATACGAACTAATACAAAAATAATCATGATACAGATCAAAGGTTTCTTTCTAGCTACATATTCCCTCACAAGGACAGATAAACGCTTTGACAGCTCCTTTTAGGTCCTGCGTCTCTTTTTCTAGGCAAGTAAATTCATAGATCTTTCAACTTTGTCTTTATCAGCACTTGCCATCTGATTGTGCTTGAAAGACGAACACGTAGAATTGTGCCCATAACATATTTATCGAACTTGAAAACGTTGCGTTATGTATTTTGTTTAAAGCGCCTAAATACATGTTTTCTAGTCCTTGAATGTTTTAGGTTTCACGATTAAATCTTTTTTTTTTTTCACCAATCTCAAAATTGGGATATAATCCTTGTATTTTAGGAGCACGCGGTTTCGGCTTTCCTTTTATTTATATTTATATCCACATTATTTATATATATTTTTTTTAGTTGTGCAGTGCTAAGTGTCGTAGTGAATGGAAATTCTTAATATTAGCTTTCGAGCGATAGGCGTTAGATTTTTTTTAAATATTATCTGAACTATCAAATGAACTTAACTACTTGTCGACGTTAAAACAGCTACCACAAAAGTTTGTTATGGCCTCTTCTCCATACATTTAATACAGAATAAAAATAAAAAGCATTTCTTTGCCTTACGATTTTAGATGGTTTTTCTCAAAGTATTCAAAACAAGCTACGCCTGTTTAGGTTGGGAGCCGCCTGTCGGACACTCATTGTTTTATAGTAGTTCACATTGGACTAAGATTAATTTATAAAACAAAGTCGGCTTATTTACGGCTGAACTGATTTTTGCAATCCTTTATTTCTTGGAGTTGTCTCCTCTCCGAATGGCTTAATACTGATACTTATGGAATAATACTGATATATTCTGTAAAAAACAAATTGCAGACGGAGAGAGAAGTTGAGACTAACTCCGCTCTCCGCTACTGCTAAACTGCTAAAATAAAATAAAGTTATTGTTTATTACGTAGTATTCTCCTGAATCATATTTAAATACGTATAACAATCAGGAGATCTGTACTAATTGCTCCCGCTATTTTACTTGCCTTTAAGGTCACTTCCCAACTCCTATACACATCACATAGCGTGCCGTTTACATAAATCTTTCGTATGACCTGTAAACTGCCTCAAAAAACTCTATATATGGAAATTTAAAGGTTCATTGAAATTTTACTAGTAGTTGAGCGTTACAGACACAAATATAGATGTAAGAACGTTCCTTACTTATGAAAACATACACATGCTCTCTTTAAAGTCCACACATATGAGCATGAGATAGCATCATCGGCAGTTTTATCAAGGAAATCATTTATATATTCTATTTTAATTGATATTGTATTGGATATATTACATGGTATTGGAATGTCAATTGAAGGTGCCATTAGTAAACTATTTTTAGACGAATAACCATAGTAAGAATAGGTACTTATAAGAATAATGTTATTGTCACTGAATCCCTCTAAAATGTTTTTTTATGCAGTTCAGTTCTTTTTTTTTCTAATTATAATTTGAACCCACTCCGTAATAAGAAGAAAGCCTATTCTGTCCATCGTGCAATTTTTTAAGATCGGCAAACTGAAAGAAAATAAAAATTGGGAGAAGAATGATCAACTATTAAAAACATATACATTACACAAACTATCATGTAATCGTGCTGAGCATCATAATTACATCTAACTGAACTATACAACATCGCGAAAGGGTAAAAGCTGACACGCACAGTCCGCATCGAAATTTCTTGTGCACTTGAGAATAGGAGAAACAATAGCATCGTGAGATTTCTTTCGCGTCGTACCAGTACTATGTTAACATATTACCATAAAACGATCATAGTAGCAAGAATGTGCACCACCTTACACCACAATTTTAAATACTAAGTTAAAATATTTGCTATAAAAACTATCACTAACTAGTATTTATGCATGATGTTTGACTAATGTGCGTGTAAATACGAAATAAATCTGTCGGCGAATTGCTCCGTTTCCGTAAGCACGACCCAACCGTGGGTAATTGTCGGAATACCGGCGGCTGTTACGGACTGATGCGCGCGGGCCCTCGACCACAACGCTGACAACGCTCTCCGTAGACCCTCCGCGAGGCTCGCAGAAATGAGTGCCTTCTACCATCGCGCTGTTTGTAACAATGCTTCGTGTACCGCGATTAATCGATAAGTGAAGTGCCGCTTTCCAATGCAAGTGTTGTTTAAAATAAATCACCAAGAAATAGGCCACCTTCCATCGTGTAGCTGTATATTAAAATGAGGTGTTTGAAAGCGGCAGGAGGATGGCTCGCCCGGGTGAGATTCGTATTCAAGATAGAAAGACATTTAGCGAAAGATTTCAATTTAGATTCGGTTGCATAGTTTGTTGGCTTGCTTAGCTTATGTATTGTCGTGTCACGATCATACCATTTCACTGACATATAGTGGTTATGCGACATTTGAAAACTTCCTTACTAGCTGTACTCAGCGTGGCTTAGTATTTTAGTTTTACTAATGATTTTCTTATTGAAAAGCGATTTTAGCAAAATTTAAATAGCAAACAAAGGGATGGAGTTGTATTGTGTTGTCTGTTACAGGCAATAAAGAAACGCGAGCAGCAGGAAGAACAGAAAACTGATGATGAGGAAACCGCCGATGACGTCCATGATGGTGAGTTTTTGTTTTATACTAATGACATTATGACAAATTAATAAATGATAAATTATCCCAAAGTGATACACAACAAACCTGTGAGATGGTCGATAGTTACGATATTGTTTTACATATTCGTGACCATACTCGGTCGTTTTGAGATCACGAATATGAACTGAGCGGTCCCCGTCTATCACTCTCGCTTCACACAAAGGCTTCGTCTTGTCTATTTTTATGTGGGAATACCTTGCTCTTTTATTTATAAAAACTTTCCAACTTGAAAATGTGTACCTACTCGTTAATGACTAATTAGATATGATCCCTATCAACAACTTTTGAACGATGGTTGTGCAACTCGACCGTTATTGAGTGTAAATAAATTCATGCATCTTTGATTGTATTACCTTGTTATACATTATCATCTTTTATGTATAACTGAATTGAGCAACATGTCCACAATACGAAATGTTAGCTTTATAAAATCGGTATCGCAGTGTTATCAGCTTATCTCTAGTAGGTACTCGGCGTGCCATTTTGTTCCGTTGAACGAAGCCCCGCAGTGTTTCGCTCACCTGTGTCGAGTTTGTTACTTGTTTTACCTTATTGTTCAGTGAAAATTAATAATAGGTGTTCTAGTCTCGTGACATACTTCCGAATAATTCTGTATAAATCGCGATGTGCGCCAAAATTGTGTGATGCCTGTACTTGAGAATGATTCAGCTATGCAATGAAACTAAGTACACACAACGCAAGGCATGTATAAGTTGACGCAACCTGCTATACGTCCCAAATCTGCAAGATTACATTGAGAACACAAGTTCATTATTCTTCTTATCGAGTGCCGGATATGCGTTCATTGAAGACATACTGGAATATAAATATTGTGTAAATGGATAACGGTCCTAAAAAATAATTCGAAACAATAATAAATGTTAAGTATAAATTTTCAAGGACATAGTTGTGTTTAAAGACTTGTGTTAACAGCCATAACGGATGGAGGTCAAACTGAGTTATTGTTATATTAGAAACATGTCACATGGACTGAAGTTTCGACGATAATAATCTTAATGTTGCGCACTAAATCTTGACAATCTCATTTGCTCCATTTTCATTAAAATTGCAGGTTATATACCCTCTACTTACTTGCACAGTTGCACACTTGCCTACTTTCCCTCTGATTTACTTCTTTACGCAAAACCTGTGCTTGCTTCATATTTTTTCTTAAGAGTATTATTTTTTGTTAAAATTTAATACTTCCGTACAGTAGTATACCGTGTGCTGTCTCGTTCATTTAATTAGTGATCAAGAGAAATATACGACACGTTACATGAGATTAATATGATTAAAAACCGATAGTGCAAATTTGTACATACAAACAATAACAGGTTTTTTAGTACTCAGCCGTCGACTGTCATTAAAATCGCAATTAACCCTCACTTATTGTAATTTGTTTTTACTCTCGATTCTGAATTTGTGTTTTTGTTGAATTGCTTTTCTCTATTTTATAGTGCTATCAATATTCCCCATAACAACCAGTCACCTAATCTATAACACTCATCTAAAAAAAAAAACTAATTTTCGGTTTTCCATTAGAAAGTGTTACCTTGACCTAGTCTATTTTCCTTAAATAGTATCAAAGGCGCACCCTCAAGGATACACGTACTTCACGTGATGCATACCAAATTGATAAAAAACGCTCCGTAAATTTGCAAACAATAACTTATTACTAAGGTCGCTTAGGTATTAGTCCGGTCAATTTAGACATTCGAGGTTACATAAAGTCCCAACAAGCTGAATTTCTGCGAAGTTGTTCAAAACATAATTATAAACAATGTCTAGAAGTTCCCCATCATTCCCCTGTAAGGAAAAAATTTAATTCAAGGTCAAAGGTCAAAAAAATTAGTTTTTCGCGATTTTCAGCAAAACTGTAAGTTTTATCATAAAAGTACCTCAGACAAAAATTGTAGATCACAAAATTATCTATAAAAAATGTTTCAATACTTTTTTTCTTACGAGCCACCTGTCTGAGATATAACGATTCAAAAAGTTATAAAAGTTGTTATCGTCATAATATGCTCACGTTTAAACGCCACCTATGAGGTAGTGTACTTAGCGCGTTTTTTTTAACGTAGTTTCCCCAGTAGGCCTACTCCACGGGTCACTTGTGATCCTGTTTAATGTAAAACTATTGCAAAATAACGGAAATTTTCTAAGATTGGGAAAGATAAAAGCGATGTAAATGAAAAAAAAAAGTGCTGAAGTTTATTCGTCTTATTCGTAAGTTTCAAATTCTTGTTCTTCTTCTCCTGCTTCTTCTTCATCTTCATTTTGGATGCAAGTAAATTACGTCAATAGCGATGTATCGCATGATACTTCGTCGGAGTCAAACGAATCCTCCATTGTTTGTGATTCAATATTAGAGTACGACCGGCCTTGACAATTTGTGCATGCCAAAGAACAAGACAGTCCGACTTTTTTGCAACCACATTTAGCACTGCGTCCCTTTTTGCAGTTGCAAAAAATAGTGTTCAGCAGTTTTTCCGGCGCAGGTGGAAGTAAAGTTTGAACTGGCTCTAATATATTGTTGACCAACTTCCAACCCCAGTCTGTAGGGTCTAGCTGATAACCAAGCCACACTTGTTGTTGGTGAAGATGTTGACTTACTTGTATTACTCACTGCTCGAACGCTGATTCAATGTGCCAAAGTTTTTAAAAAGAGTAATTCAACTCAACAAGAAGTTATTACCAACGGCATCCGATTTCTTCTTTCTATGTACGGAGCTCCTAAAAAAACTACCTGTTTAGATAAGCATCGATATGCATGTTTCGTTAAAAATACTAAAAATAAAAAACAAGTTCAATTAGCTTGTCTTCCTCCAACCTCAGTTGCTGCTCACCAACATCTTTTTCGAGTATATTACCAAGTTCAAGTGTGGCTTGGTTATCAGCTAGACCCTACAGACTGGGGTTGGAAGTTGGTCAACAATATATTAGAGCCAGTTCTAACTTTACTTCCACCTGCGCCGGAAAAACTGCTGAACACTATTTTTTGCAACTGCAAAAAGGGATGCAGTGCTAAATGTGGTTGCAAAAAAGTCGGACTGTCTTGTTCTTTGGCATGCACAAATTGTCAAGGTCGGTCGTGCTCTAATATTGAATCACAAACAATGGAGGATTCGTTTGACTCCGACGAAGTATCATGCGATACATCGCTATTGACGTAATTTACTTGCATCCAAAATGAAGATGAAGAAGAAGCAGGAGAAGAAGAACAAGAATTTGAAACTTACGAATCTTTTTTTTCATTTACATCGCTTTTATCTTTCCCAATCTTTGAAAATTTCCGTTATTTTGCAATAGTTTTACATTAAACAGGATCACAAGTGACCCGTGGAGTAGGCCTACTGGGGAAACTACGTTAAAAAAAACGCGCTAAGTACACTACCTCATAGGTGGCGTGGAAACGTGTGCATATTATGACGATAACAACTTTTATAACTTTTTGAATCGTTATATCTCAGACAGGTGGCTCGTAAGAAAAAAAGTATTGAAACATTTTTATAGATAATTTTATGATCTACAATTTTTGTCTGAGGTACTTTTATGATAAAACTTACAGTTTTGCTGAAAATCGCGAAAAACTATTTTTTTTGACCTTTGACCTTGAATTAAATTTTTTCCTTACAGGGGAATGATGGGGAACTTCTAGACATTGTTTGTAATTATGTTTTGAACAACTTCACAGAAATTCAGCTTGTTGGGACTTTATGTAACTTCACTCTCATTTTTTGGTCTAAATTGACCGGACTATATATTGTGCCTCTATGGAATATTAGGTTTATTTGTTGATTCGAGTTATTGAACTGACGCCATTATCTTATCAGCTTCAATAATAAATTATTCCAACGAGACTCATTGTCAGTAGTAGTTAGACACTCATCGGCGAAAAGTGCAGATTGTTACAATTTAAAAAAATATTCCAAGTAAATATTTAATTGATTATATTTCGTTACGGTTTTATAAGAAAATCAAATATTTTCTCAGATAAGTAACTAAGATAATAGGTTTACTATGTGTGCACAAATATTGCATGTGAAGAAGTTGTTAATCAAGCTGTAGTTGTGGTGTGTTGGTAGTGTTACTTATTTGGCAAATATTTACACTTCTGTCGTCACGATTCCTTTTGTTGTTCATTTTATGTCTATTCACTATGAAAATATAATTAATTATTGTAATTTATAAATCTATAATAATTATAATTGTCACTAAACATGATCACTGCCTTTAACGTCGATAGCTACGGGCTATCGATCGCTAACTATGCGGAATATCGACGTTAAAGCCAGTGATCGGACATGCTAATCGTAAGATCTACCCGTTTTCTCTTTTCCATTTTTATTGTTCAACCGCTACACGTTCTTTTGCGTGACATCATACTGACAGTACCTTTGTTCAAAAATCGTGTCTATGTTTCTCCTAAACTTTTTAACCTCTATCGACAACGGAGGTCTTGTGCTGGAGCCCCTAGTCATTTATTAATACACGACCATTACACATCATTCCTTGGCAGATCAATTTACTTTCTTGAGCGTGATATGCTTGTAGATACATTGTGTATCATAAGGCTATAATTATTTTGTAATCTATGTGACGTGGTTTCTAATGTGTTAATTGTCTCTACACTTCTAACGCGTGGTAAAAAATCGTGATGTAGCTGATTCACATGACAGTGTAATAATAATAAATCATGAAAAATAAAAGACTGGAAGTGACGTTAAGCGTCCGTGGTGACGGTTCACTGAGTCGAAGTAGTCTCAGGAGCAGCACAAGGAGTAACCGCAGCAATGGGAGCGGCACCAGCAACGGGATACCTGTAAGCGAGATATTTAACAATGATCGTTTCACAGACATACCTTACAACAGATCCTTTGATATACTAGACAAATACCGCAGACAACCGAATCAATATGGATATCCAGCACAGAGTCTGGACGCATTAAATTATTACCAACAGTCAC